TATGATGCTGCTTCGCCTGCTGTGTTCATCCAGCTCTGCACCTTGTTGTCTCAGATTCTCCAGCATCTGCAGTTCCTACTATCTCTCTCTTTCTTTTCAAGTCTGTTTCCTTGCTTCCTAGTTCTGATGAGTGTAAACCAAAAAGCTTCAACTTCTCTCCTTTTAGCAATGTTTAATTAAATAAATATTAAACAAGGGGGAAAACAAAAAACATGAGCTCTATTGCAGTAGACAAAATGTTGGGAAGATTTCATTGCAAACACCAAAAAATTCAAGTCACACTTTTCATTTTATCCTGGCAATGCCATTACCTCAGTGAAGAATCATCACTGTCTCCACACCAAGGATTCTTACTCACGGTGGCATAACTGTAACCAGTTTCCTTTCTATGCATTCACTAGATCCTATTATCTTCAGCTGGTATCTCCCCAAAACATAAAACAACAACCTACAAACTAAACTCATTATTAATTTAACTTCAGAGCAAACATGGGTGCCCCTGATTTCAATTTCTAGTAGTTTTCTTGCTAGATTTCTTACAGAGAGTTTAATAGTTCAGCCTCATCCCTCTAGCACACCCACACAGACTGACTTTCTGGATTGTTTTGCTTTTCTGCGTCACTGGACAGCTGTTGCTTTCTACATTTTCTTTAACTTTTCCTTCTGCTGCACTGGCCTCTGAGGTCCATACTTGGCAGTGACTTTCAGAATTGGAGGTCAATGAGTCCACATGTGAATTGGCTTTGTGGACCCTCTGAGCAGAGAGGGAACATCAGTTGCTATGAAGCAACCAATAACCTTTTTTATTAATACGTTGAAATATAACCCTACCTCTGCTTTCAGGTTGTAATACCTCATGAAAATGCATGTAAACAAAACATGCTTCCAGACTACTGTCACCAAAGTTCACAAATGAAACTCTAAAATGACTGAGATTGTTGATATGCTCGCCGAGCTGGCTTGTTTTTGTTCAGACGTTTTGTCACCATGCTAGGTGACATCATCAGTGGAGCCTCCGATGAAGCGATGTTATTCTACTCTGCTTGGAATTTATACTGTCTGGTCTATTATGGTGAGTAATGTCATTTCCAGTTTTGATCTGTATGGGTTTATATATGGCATCCAATTCTATGTGTTTGTTGATTGAAGTATGGGTGGAGAACCATGCCTCTAGGAATTCCCTTGGGCTACTGTGGTTACCTTGTCCCAGTTAAACTGATGGCCTTCATTGTCTGAATGTACCAATATTAAAGAGATTTTATCATGCAGGTTTGCTGATAGCTGATGTTCGTGTATTTGTGTATAGCAGCAAAACGGCGCGATGAACTCTCCTTAATAACATTGCTTCATTGGAGACTCCACTGATGATGTCACCTAGCATGGTGATGAAACATCTCAACAAAAACAAGCCAGTTCGGTGAGCAAGTCAACAATCACATCCACAACCTGAGCTACAGATCTTTGCCAAAAAATGACTCTCTGTTTTCTGCTTCTTAACACACAAAATACAAAAATCTGAAATAACTTAAAGTTATGCATTGTTCTTAAATGCAACATATAAAATGTTCCTGTATATATTCTGTGCTGAGTATAGCAAGCGACACAGCTAACGTTCAGAGACAGTCTGTTCCTGTTAGGGTGAAGGGCAAGGCTGGTAGGTGTGTGGAAGCTGGATGACTAGGGAAATTGATACTCTGGTCAAGAAAAAGAAAGAGGCATATATCAGATTTAGACAGCTGGGTTTCGAGTGAATCCTAGATGAGTATAAGGGCAGTAGGAGTACACTTAAGAGGGAAATCAGGAGGGCAAAAAAGGAGACATGAGATAGCTTTGGCAAACAGGGTTAAGGAGAATACAAAGAGATTCTGTAAGTAACATTATGGGAAAAGAGTAACTGGGGAGAAAATAGGGCCCCTTAAAGATCAACAAGGCTGTCTAATGTATGGAACCAAAGGAGATGGGTGAGACACTAAACAAATATTTGGCATCAGTATGTACTGTGGAAAAGGACATAGAAGCTAGGGAACTTGGGGAAATACATATTAATGTCTTGAAAAGGCTTCAAGTTACAGAAGAGAAGGTGCTGGATGTCTTATAATGCATAATGGTAGATAAATCCCCAAGAGCCAACCAAGGTGTTTCCCAGAACTTTGTAGGAAGCTAGGGAAGAGATCGCTGAGCCCCTTGCTAAGACTTTTATATCATCGATAATCACAAGTGAGTTGCTGGAATCCCAGACAGTGGCTAATGTGGTGCAATTATTTAAGAAAGGGTGTAAGGAAAAGCCAGAGAACTACAAATCAGTGAGACTTTTGTCAGTGATGGATAAGTTGTTGGAGGGCATTCTGAGGGACAGGATTTACATGTATTTGGAAAGGCAAGGACTGATTATGGATTGTCAGCATTGCTTTGTGCATCACTAACTTGATTGAGGCTTTTGAAGAGGTGACAAAGAAGATTGATAAAGGCAGAGTGGTAGACATTGTCTAAATGGACTTCAGCAAAGGGTTCAACAAGGTTCCAAGTAGTAGGGCTGGTTAGTAAGGTAAGATCACATGGGATCCAGGAGGACCTAGCTAATTGGATACAAAATTGGCTTGTATGTAGGACACAGAAGGTGGTGGTGGAAGGTTGTTTTTTGGACTGGAAGCCTGTGACCTGTGGTGTGCCGCAAGGATCAGTTCTGGGTCCACTGCTTTTTGTCATTTAAATAAATGATTTGGATGTGAATATAGCAGGTATGGTTAGTCAGTTTGCAGATCACACTAAAATATGTGGTGTAGTGGACAATGAGGAAGGTTGTCTCAGAGTACAATGGAACCTTGATCAGATGGGCCAATAGACTGAGGACTGGCAGATGGAGTTTAATTTAGATAAATGTGAGGTGTTGCATTTTGTTAAGGCAAAGCAAGGCAGGACATTTACAGTTAATGATAGGTCTCTGGGGAGTGTGGCAAATGAAGAGACCTAGGGGTGCAGGTGCATAGTTCCTTGAAAGTGGAGTCGCAGGTCGACAGGGTGGTGAAGAACGCATTTAGCATGCTTGCCTTCATTGGTCAGTGCATTGAGTATAAGAGTTGGGACGCCATGTTGAGGCTGTACAGAACATTGGTGAGGGCACTATTGGAATACTGCATACAATTCAGACCGCCCTTTTAAAGGAAGGATGTTGTTAAAATTGAGAGGGTGCAGGAAAGATTTACAAAGATGTTGCCGGGACTGGAGATTTTGAGATATAAGGAGATGCTGAAAAGGCTGGGGCTTTTCTCCCTGGAACGTCAGAGACTGAGGGTTGACTTTGTAGAGGTTTATAAAATCATGAAGGGCATGGATAGTGTGAACAGCCAATGTCTTTTTCCTCAGGTGGGAGTCCAAAACTAGAGGGCATTGATCTAAGATGAAAGGGAAAAGGTTTTGAAGGGACCTGAGGGGTAACTTTTTCACACAGAGTGTGTTGTGTGTATGGAAAAAGCTGCCATAGGAAGTGGTGGAGGCGTTTGTAATTACAACATTTAAAGGCATATGGATGGGTATGTGAATAGGAAAGGTTTAGAGGGATTTGGGCCAATTGCCGGCAAATGGGATTGGGTCAGATTGCAATGTCTGGTTGGCGTGGGTGAGTTGGACTGAAGGGTCAGTTTCCATGCTGTATGACTCTATAACTGCATGAATTCTTACTCCAAGCCTGTGGTATGTAAAGAAATAAGAATACAAGGCTCAAAGGTATGATGAAGCACTTCTCCCCTTACAGATCTTGACCAGTTTGCTGTATGTTTTCAGCATTTATGTTCTTGTTTCAGTCTTGCTGTGCTTTTTTTTCTTTCTGTGAGTCCTGAGGTATGTAGAAGTTTCTCTGACATTTACCCTGCGTTCCTTGTGTCAGTGATATCAAACACTAGCCTGAGATCCCTTATGTCCTGGGCTATCAGTTCCTGGTGAATTTTGTCTGACAATTCTCTCTTAGCCATCTCCTGCTGTTTATCCTTCAATTCATGCAGAAAAGCCAGTATCTGTGGTGGACAGAAGATTCAAGAGATCACAGGCCTCCAATGTTGTCCAACATCTCAACAGTACCAGAGAAAGTGATTTGCATTTATAGAGCGCCTTTGATGGAGTAAAATGACCCAAGGCCCATTATAATGGGGCATAATCAGAAGAAATTTGTACCAAACATATAAAAGAAACTTTAGATAAATGACCAAAAGCTTGGTCAAAAGGGTAAGTTTTAACAAATGATTTAAAAGAGGAAACAGGGGTAAAATCTAAAGTTTTGCAGAGTCAAAGTGACTCTGGGGCCATTTAGAAATGGCATGCAGGGCCTGATCTGGAGATTTTTAGCACTCCCACATTTTGCTGGCACAAGATAAGAATCTGCACCTTGCACCTGTATTCCTGATCCAGCTAGCTTCATAATCCAGCAAGCATCTCCTGGCAATCTCCAACTCCCAACAACTTTCATCGATGTTGACCTCCAAATTGTAATTAATAGCCTTTCAGAGCAGTCATGAGCCATAGTCTGGATCTGGGAATGTTTTGAAAGATACGTTCCAAAGGACTTGCTGTGTCCCATTCATGCCAACCCTTACTCATCTGCCCAGGATGCATTATGTACACAAACAATGAGATGTATAATAACAATGGCAAGTTTGGAACAGCAAAGACAGAAAAAAAAATCATACGTTGTTTTCTGGAAACAAAACCGCTGTTCCTATAACGTTCTAAAAATTTCAAACAGACAGACCATTAAAGAACAAATAACAGAGCTTTCAAATATTTCACTCCCTTAACCTTGTCTGATGATAAACTCTGAGACATTGACAAAAGAGATCACAGAGAAAACAATTTACTGTCAGCACTTAAAGGTATCAATCAAGCAAAGTCACCAATTCATTTCAGTTGTCAAAACAGAGCCTTCTGCTGAGCTAATGCTTTCATTGGTCTGGACTTAGAGCCAAGCCTCATTATGTACACTACCTGCTTCCCCACTTGGTTGATGCTGATTTACTTGAAGTCTTTTACAATTTTAAACCTAGGTGAAACCAGGAGTGATGTGCACGTACATGGGATTGTTGTTTGTGTGCTTGTGTGGTTGAAGCCTTTAAGACGTTGCAGTTTGTGTACTGCACAGGGCCAGGTTCAAAAAAGTGAAGTTGTTTGCACAATATGTTGACTAAGTTGTGTGCAAGTCATGATTGCAAAGTTTAAATTATACTGAAAACTGAGCTTTCGACATGCTTTAGAAATAGAGGCAGAGAATAAAATGATCAAGACATTTTGCTAAACCTACATAAAACATCTCAAGTAAAGTATATACTGTGGATGTTGGAAATCTGAAACAAACACTGAGGTTCTGGAGAAACTCAACTGGTCTGGCAGCATCTGTGGGGAAAGAAACAGAGTTAACATTTCAAGTCTTGTATGACTGTTCTTCCAAACCATTTAACCTCAAACCTCAGAACTTCATGCAAGACTTCAAGCACAGAGTGAGTTGTTTCAGTTGCAGGCATCCGAAGGATGTGAAGGGATGATTAAAGGGGGAGGGGTGGTTGTAAAGGCATCAGGAAAGGGGAAAAACACCAGAATTTCTCTCCCTGGCCCTCCACTCAGACACTCAGAGACACACACAGACGTACAGACATACACATACACAGAAACACACACATATAACTTTAATACCAACCAGGATCAAACTAGCATAACCAACTTTTAATATCTTAGTCCATTTATTACTTCCTTTCATTTCACCTTCATCTGAGGATCAGGTTAAAATGTGACTAATAGTTGGTAGCTAGGTTACCATCAGAGGTGCAGGGGCAGGGATTGTGGTGGGGGTAAGGGAGTTTGGTGGTGATGGGTGGCATAGTTGGCGGTAGGTATAGATCCATAACCCATAGGGAAGGAGCTTCATTAAGAGAGGAAGGGGAGGGGATGAACTAAAGAATTGAAAGATGAAATGTTTATTCTGAGTCACACAATTGCAGGGGGCATCTTTCAGTCTCTAAATGTCATATACAATAGAGAAGATGGAAAGAGCACTCAGCAAAGAGGAATTACAGTGACAAAACTCACCGAGCAGCCTCAAACATTATCAGATCAATCTTGACAATGATTCTCACGGATTAAGTACAGCTTTACCTTTTCCCTCAGCATAGAGGGTGGTGGTACAAAATCAGCTTTAGGAGGCTCTGGAAGATTCTTGTTATTAACTGATGTTTGCTGAGGCTCTTTTTTGGTGACCTTTTTCTTCTTTCTCTTGACAAAGGTTTTCTTTTTTGGAGGCATTAGCTGACTTTATACCAACACCACCAGGGGCCTGCTGCAGCTCACAAGAACACTATTAAAACCTGGTTGCTAATAGCAACTTAAGTCAACAGTCTGAGCCTGTTGTATCACGAGAGGGTGGTGTCTAAACTGAAACTAGTTCTTTGTGGAAGAGTTTTGTGTCTCCAAAGCCCAAACGGTACTTCTTTGGAGATTGAATTAAATTGTTGTTTGTAGCTTTTTCACATATAATTAATGGTAGTTGTATTATTTTTGTGTTGTTAATTTAGGATATTTGGTCGGCATAGACATGTTGGGCCAAAGGGTATGTTTCCGTGCTGTATGACTCTAAACTCGATATTTATTTGTGCTTCAATGATTTGCCCACCTTCTCCAGGGCAATTAGGGATGCACAATAAATGCTGGCCTAGCCATTGACCCCCTCAATCCCAAATGAGTTATGAAAAATTAATTAGTCATAGAATCATAGAGATGTACAGCACTGAAAGAGATCCTTCGGCCCAACTTGTTCATGCTGACCCAGTTTCCTAAACTGAACTAGTCTTATTTGCCTGCATTTAGCTCATAACCCTCTTAAACCTTTCCTATCCATGTATTCAACTGTCTTTTAAATGTTGTAATTGTACTCACCTCCACCACCTTATTGATAACCAATCCCCACAGATTCCCATTGCTTGACATTGATGCCAAGGCCAGTTAAGGTTGCTTTAAGGTGTTCTGTTAGACTCAGATTTGAGTGAGGTTCTCAGAAAGTACTTAAGTACATAACCAGGCCAAGAAAACTTAGATTTTAAACTGTAATTACTTCTCTGATGTGTGATGTGGAGATTAAAATCTTCAGTGTTGTTTTTCATATCAGCAGTTGTTTTTCATATCAGCAGTGAAACAAAACTTCAGAATCTGAATTCCAAAAGCATCAATATTGTGGAAATTATTAGGATATTCAGTGCCAAATCAGATCACAAACCCTGAGTGATAGTGAAACAGATGTGAAAAATAACTGCTCCCAGCTTAGGGCTTTTTGAGAGAATGCATTTTATATGAAACCTAACAGCTCTATCACAAACATTTCTAAGCAGTGTGTGTGAGTTTCCCTAGAAATAGTGTTTTTACCTGACGTGGCAATGCTTACATTATATCCTGTAACATCAGAAACTGGGTGTGCATGTCATGGTATTGAAAAATCCAATTGAATTTAATTGGAACTAAATATTGTGTACAAGCATTGCATTTGGCAGGCACCTAGGGCTGGATCTCATGAGTTTTCATTAAGTGTCAAGTTTCATGGATTGTTTCTCACTACGAGGTCAAGCAAGGCCTCTCATTGTAACTCACCAAACTTACCTCCTTATTGACGTCCCCTGTCCTTACAGTTCCCATTCTTGCATGATTCCAGCCCTTTTCCACCATGTGATGAACCCACAACAATTTGCCTTTGGTGAGATATATTGGAATGGACTGGAATTCCTGGTGCTGGCGCCATCTTTATAAGCCTGTTGTGCAGACGGACAAGCACTGTCTGCCTCACAGTTCCTGTCATTTATCCTGTAGGTGGCAGAGAAGAGGACATTGGAAACCCCCACTTTAGGGACAGGGCCCTGGGGTTTGTGGTGAATTGGATTTTGCAGACATGGGAAGTCACCTTCCTGCAGGACTGGTAGGAGAGGCCCCAGTACCAGATCGTGTTAGACTGGTCAAAGATTGCCACCTGAATCAGAGCTATCTTAGCTGACAGGAGGAATGCTCAGCAATGTAGGAAGAAGCTCAACAAGCTTTGCCGCTCTGCCATTGTAAGTGCCTCCATCTCCTCTCCAATGTCTCATATTCACTCTGTGTCTGCTATTGCACCAAGGCTCATGCTCTAATAGTCTCATTATTGCATGCAACATCTTCCTCTACTTGCTGTCCCCTACTCTGATGGAGTTGTTGGTTGGTTCGCTGAGCTGACTGGTTTTCATGCAAACATTTCATCTCCCTTCTATATGACATTGTCAGTGCTGTGTAGCCTCCGTTGAAGCACCGTTGTTCTGTCCTGCTCTGAATTCCAGTCTGCTATTTTTCTGAAGAAGGGTCCAGACCCGAAATGTCAGCTTTTCTGCTCCTTTGATGCTGCTTGGCCTGCTGTGTTCATCCAGCTCTACACCTTGTTATCTCAGATTCTCCAGCATCAGCAGTTCCTACTATCTCTGTTATGGTGACGGTCTTGTTTCTGGTTTTGCACCGTAGCGGTATGTACATGGGATCTATTTCAACATGTTTGTTGATTGCATCAGTGGTTGAAAACCAGGCCTCCAGGAATTCTTGTACTTGTCTTTGTCTCGCTTGTCTGAGTACTGTAACTTTGTCCCAGTCAAACTGATGTCCTTCTATGTCGGAGTGTATTGAAACAAGGGAAAATTGTTCGTGCCGTTTTGCTGCGAGTTGGTGTTCATGTATCCTGGTGGCGAGTTTCCTGTGCGTTTGTCCTATATAGTGTTTCTCGCAGTTGCTGCATGGTAATTTTATATATCATATTTGTTCTGCTCATTGGGGGTATGGGTCTTTCATCTTTGAGAGTAACTGACAAAGTGTGGCTGTTGGTTTGTGTGTCATCCTTATTCCAAGATGTCGTAGGAGTCTTGTAGTCAGTTCTGATGTGAAGAAGAATATCCTATGTCTTACAGTCATAGAGTCATACAGCACGGAAACAGACCTTTCGGTCCAACCTGCCCATGCCAACCATAATTCCAAACTAAACTAGATATACCTGTCTACATTTGGTCCACATTCCTCCATATTCATGTACTTATCTAAATGTCTTTTAAACGTTGTAACTGTACCCGCATCCATCACTTCCTCTGAAAGTTTATTCCACATATGAACAACTTTCTGTGTAAAAAAAATTGCCCCTCATGTCTTTTTTAATGTTAAAAATATGCTCTCAAGTCTTGAAATCTCCCACCCTAGTGAAAAGACACCTGCTATTCTTGAAATGGTTAGACAATTAGTTTCTGGTCAAGGTCCCCCTGCATTTTCTTCCCAAACATAAGTTTTGCTGGTTATGATAAACCCTTCTCCATTGATGAAAGGTGTAAACCCGAAATGTCGACTTTCCTGCTCCTCTGATGCTGCCTGACCTGCTGTGTTCCGCCAGCTCCACCAAATACCATGCAATGACTGCCACAAACATTACATCAGGCAGACAGGAAGGAAACATGAACATCAGCTAGCAGCAAAACGGCACGACGAACTCTCCTTAATATCGGTACACTCAGACAATGAAAGCCATCAACTTAACTGGGACAAGGTAACCATAGTAGACCAAGCCAAACATAGACACACTTGGGAATTCCTAGAGACCCATACTTCAATCAACAAACATATAGAATTGGATCCCATATACAAACCCACACAGATGAAAACCGGAAATTACAGTACTCACCATAACGGACCGGACAGTATAAATCCCAAGCGGAGTCAAATAACATCGTTTCATCAGAGGCTCCACTGATGATGTCACCCAGCATGGTGATGAAATGTCTGAACGAGAACAAGCCAGCTTGGCGAGCAAGTCAACAACCTCACATGAAAATCTTGCTATGTTGCTCGACACTAAATGATCATTGATCTGATTGGTGCTAATTTACTTTAAGCTTTTGCCATTTTGAACCTAAATGGAACCAGAATTGTGCACCAATCGAACATATTCGTTCAAGGTATTCTTACTTGCACGTGGGATTGTTATTTGTTGCTTGTGTGGATCAAAGTCTTTTAGATGTTGTTAGCTGTTACTATGCATTCTGCTGGCCTATTTGAGCATGGTTAATGGGGTGAGAATGTGATATGGGTCACTCCCAACATAATACACATGTCTTGAAATGGTTTGCCAGTGTACTGAGACACACCGACCTTCCAAAGAGTATTCCTCCCAGACCTACCCCATCTCTGTAACTCTGCATTTACCATTGCTATTCTACATAACTTGCACCACCACAGACACTATGGGCAATTTAGTATGGCCAATCCACCTAACCTGTACATCATTGGATTGTGGGAGGAAACCAGAGCACTTACAGGAAACTCACACAGACACGGGGAGAATGTGTTACCCGAGGGTGGAATTGAACCCATCTCCCTGGTGCTGTGCAGCAGCAGTGCTAACCATTGTGCCAACCCATGTCACTGAGCAATGGGAAATTGTGAGAAGTAATCAGTCACAAAGATGTCATCATCTCCACGTGTGAAAAAATGGCTCTTTTTCTCATTTCATGAAAGGAGTGGAGGAAGATTTTGTGGATATAGACACTCCATCTGCTTCTGAAGTTAATACATTAGGCATGTCTCAAATGCATTCACAAATTGTTGTGAGTCCTGCTTCATCCTTGGCCAATACACAGACTCATATGCTCACCATCTTGTGTGTTCAATACATATATCCATGGTATAAACTGGATATGATATTTTGGCTTACTGCTTTTGGTATTAGGACTTGTTTGTTCATGAAAATGATTTATTTGCATGAAAAATATGGCCTCTGTATGGCCAACATGAACAAATCTTCTCAGGTATACCTTTAAAGACCACAACTGGATAATGATCCTCTCATCTTGTCGATACTCATCTTCAGCAGCCACTGATTGCAACTGTTCACAATGGATCTGGTTGAAGTGTAACATATCAACCTTGAGAAAGTCTTAACTTTGTGTTCTCAAGCATTGAGAGGAATTTCATTGTCTTTGTTTGGACTGGGTAATCGGCTCAGTGTGCAATTGTTCTGGTCGCTGGCTTATGTTTCATTTCAAAATCATAGTGTGGGGCATCATTGATTGATTCAATTTGTGTTATACAGCTTCTGTTCCACTACAGTGCATGTGGGTTTGTGTCTTGTGAAGTGTGACTACGTTGAGATTTGTGCATACCAGTAATCCTGCCACTGCTCGACTTTTGGTATCTATGAGGTGGAATATTTCAGGAAGCCAAGATGAACTTGAGCATTGTGATTCTGTCAACATGCAGACTTTGT